TCTATCATGCAAACCCTGCATCTCTAAAAGAAAGACAAGGTAAAGAAATAGTAAAAGAGGGGAAACCCCACCCGACGGAAAACCCCAAGCCAAAACCAAATCCTAAAATTTTTTTGCCTCTTTCCTGCATCAGAGTAACACTTTCATTGCCCAAAGCTCCCCAGAGAAAGTCCCCAGCACACTGGGGTGTGTCAGTCAGGACTGCTGTGTGACAGAGGCTCTGCTGGGACATTGCACAGGACGTTTCATCTTCAGCTCTACTGTTCCCTCGTTCCCACCAGCCCAGGCCATTGGTGAGGGAGGGCATCACTCACCTCAGTGTGCAAACAGAACTCATGGGATGGTTTTAAATAACCATCCGGAACTCCCGTCACCAAGCAGAAAAGCTGTGTTGTCTGTTTGGTGCCTACAACCCTTTTCTAGCTCCGAGAGTGACTCAAGGTGCCTGGGATGTCACTTTTACTTTAATGTCAGTAGGTTTGATAAAAGGCTTGAGTGTTCCAAAATCTGAGTGCTGTGGGGAAGCGTTTTCAGCTCCCATTTCCAGTGAGGACTTGGCTGAGGGTCAGAAGAACCCTTCAGAAGAACATCTTTTGGTAGAACAAGGGAAGCCATCCCTGACTGATTTTCAGCTCTCCACTCGATGAGAAGATGTGGCACAGCCCCTGAGAGGCTTTGTGCCTTTCTGTCTGACAAAAAGAGCTGCCACGGTGGCTGTCAGGTTTGTTTTGTTGTGCTGTAATTACAGATTCTGAGATCCTGGGGAGCTATGGGGAGAATGAGATGCATTTCACACTGGGAGCTGACCTTGGAATAATGCTGCCCTTATGAAAGGTGGGAGCAGTGAAGGTGTGGCACAGGTGTGTGCCACTATTGCAGGGGGGTTTAGGGGAAGACAAGCCCTCAAAATGACCATTTAATTTAAAAACAATTATTTCTCCTCCTTCCATGCATCTTTTTTATTGCATTTTCCAGGTTTCACTGTGGTTTCTCTCCTGTTGTCCTGTCTCTGGCTTTCAACCCTTGTGGCTTCATTTCTCCAGCAGCTTGAATTGCAGCTGGGCAGTTCATGATGGGCTTTTTGCTAATGCCACACTCATTCCATCTTCAAACATGAATGAACTTTGTCCTGGGAAGCCAGGGCCAGGTGGAGCAGGGCTTTGAGGTCTCTTGCACTGCACAGGATGGAAGCAGGGCCAGCAGGACACTTTTCCCCCTGGAGATGCCCTAACACAGCTGACTTTTATTTATCCCTGCTTCACCCAAAGCTCTGCCAACTTTTATATTAACAAAAGTGCTGTGCTTGATTCAAAATCTCCATCCGTGCTCATTTTAATAAATTCAATTTGTTTTGTTTATCTTAAGAAATGGTACTGTACAGCAGCAGCATTTAGAAAATAGAAATTCAGTGGTGATGCAATGAACATGTTTCTGGAATTTGTTGTAAATTGAAAAACCCAGCAAACTGACCAAGCTACAGTTTTAATTTTGGCTTTGTTCAGTGTTATGCCAAATATATTATGCTCACTAAAATTTAACAAAATCATACAGATCTTACAGTGATCATTCTCAATATTTATATAAATGTTGCGTTGATGAATGACACATGTTTTCCAGCTGTACCCTCATCAATTTGTGAATCAGGATAAGAATCTCTCATTCCGGCCTTTGCAAATCCCATCTTAGATATCTTTTGTGAGCAGAATGGTTTGGGTTGGAAGGGACCTTTAAGTTCCATCCATTTCCAGCCCCCTTCCATGGGCAGGGACACCTTCTTTGTCCACTGGCTGAAAAGGTGCAAATCAAATAAAGGAAATAATGGAAAATCTTAACTATCCAACTGCAAGGGTGCACATACTGAGTAGTGGAAAATCCTGCAAGTGGAAAAGCTCTTTTTAGGTGTTGGAGTAATTGTACGTTGCTCGAAACACGCCTAGAACAGTTTAAACAGTTATTAAAGAGTGTTGCCAGATTTTATCGCTGCAGTCATGCATATAGATCAGTGATCCCTGAGCAGCACTGTGAAATGTGTGAATGAGGTGCACTTGCTAAAAATAACCCTACTGAGTGCTGCTGCTCCTAATTGCCACAGAATCCTGGGGAAATGATCCCATTTCGGCAGCACAGAATTGACTTTAAATGTTTGACTGCAGCATGACATGTGGGTTCTCAAAGATGATATTTGCTAGACCTTGGTCATCAGCAGTTAAAAATGAAGCAAACAGTCACCATCAGATTGTACTTGGAGTGTTGTAGTTCTGTTCTTGTGTCACTTTGGGTTCTGGTTGTGTGGAAACACCTGGCAGGGCTGCAGCTCTGGGCTGGGAGAGGCTGGAACTGCTCTGCCTTACCTGGTAAGCCAGATATAAAGAAAAGTATCTGTCCAGCAGCTCCAAATATAAAGAAAAGTATCTGTGAATTTGTTTTTAAAGGAAATAAAAATTCTCAGGGTGTTTGGCAGCAGCTGAGCATCCCAGAGCTGACTGACAGACAGAGAAATGATCCTTTTGTTTCCCTCCCCTTTTAGAAGTTTATTTTAATACTTAATCAAGATTCCTCCATGCCCTTGTACCCCAAAGAGAATCTGTTTTCCTTTTCATAGGAAATGGGTTTGTTGATGAAGGTGATGGCACCATCGCCACCTGTGTGACTCTTCCAGATTTCTGGATATTGGAGAAATAGGAACTCAACTATTTTGTTATAGTTTTGTCACATATTTTTGTTATTATTCCATCTTCACTTTGGGAAGGTGAAACCTTTCCCTCATCAAAACCAGTCTTAAAAATCACTAAGATTTTTTTCTTTCTAGCAAATTCTTTGATTATCCATTTCTTTATGGTTATTCATATTTTTAGGCAGCTGCAGCAAATGACAGATTTGCAGGCACACTGAATTTCTGCTTCTGCAAGGGTTTAAGCTATTTAGGGAAATGAATGAAGCACAAAGGTTTTTATTTAACTATAAATTTTGTATGACTTTAATTTTTTTTCATGAGTGACTGGCTTTCTTACATCAAACTCCTTCACAGGGAATTTTACAGCAATAGGCAGTACCTTTGACAACTATAATTTTCTAAAACTCTGGGAAAGCCAGATGAAAGAATAAATAAATATTGATCTGGCTGGGGTTTAAGTAATCCCTGATTAAAGTAAAAATGCATTTTAAAAGTAGCATTGATTACTCCTGGACTCTGGTTTTGTTATCCTTCCCAGGCTGAAAATGTTGAGTCTTTACAGAGTCAGAGAAATATATTGAGAATACCAATGAGACATTTATTTTAATTTATCACCCCAGTGTCTGAGCACTTTTATGTTATCCTCTGAATTTATACACAAAATCAATCTCAGAAGTGGGACAACTTTACTGCTGAGGCAAAGGGGAGCAGGAGGTTTAAGGACACACCTGTGCTGCTGGGCACAGTTTTTACAGCTTAGGCCTCCAAGAGTCAGTGTTGGAACTGGATTTAGCCAGGACAGAGCCAAGTGTTCCCATCCCTGTCTGCATCCAGTCCTGCTGGGAGTCCCCTTTTCACTCATTTAATCAACTTTGTACCATTTCTATCCCCTCTGGCAGAGATGTTTTGTCTTGCTGTACTCCAAAGCCTTTGGGCATTTGGATATTTCCCCCTGCTGTGTCTCCTTGTTTGCTGTTTGATTCCTGGAGTCACCTGCTGATTTTTGGGACTGGTACCCAGTAGAGGGATTGCATTCTCAGCTCCTGGACAGGATGGACTTGCTGTTTGCTCAGCTCCAGCGTTGTGTGTGCAATGCAGAGTGAGGGAGCTCTGGTTTTTAGCTGTTTTCATGTGTTCCCACAATGGGGAATCTCTGGGATAAATGTGCTAAAAAGATGTTGGTGGCCCAGGTGGTGGAACAAGATGTTTGGCTTGGAACTCCTGCAAGCACTTCTGTCAGCCTGGGATGGCAGAGAGGTATTTTTATCACTTGTAGTGCTTACATGGCACTTCAGTCAAGTGGGTTAGGCTTGGTTTGGTTCTGTTTTGGCCAGATTTCAATTTAATTCATGATGTGCCACCTCCCTAAGTCAGCTTTGGCTCCTAGATAAGTCGTGCTGTCCTTTTAATTTCTGGCCGAGCATTTGCGCAGCGGAACCCAGAGACTCTGGGAATTCCTTTCTGGCCCCTAATAACACGAGGTCCATTCTGTTTGTGCATCCCTCTGATGCTCTGAAGTGCTTTGAAGGGTTGGGAGAGAAATTGCTGTTGAATCCCTGTGTCCTGGAGCTCTGTAGGGCTGGCACTGCTGTGTTCCTGCATCAATCTGCTGCTTTGGGAGGGAGACATTCCCCAGGCAGCGCGAGGGGCTCTGCTGAACTCATTGCTTGGCAAGTTGTGTCTTGACAAATGTGCTGCACACAGGATTCTGTCTCTGCTGACGTGAAATCACCCCCAGAAGGGCTTGAAATAGAATCTTTGTTGAAAATTTCGTCCTGGCATTAGATTTGTGACACCTGCGAGTTTGTCCTGATGTAATTCTTGGAAGAGATGTTTGTTTTCATCTCCAACAGGAAGGGAGGAAAACTTTCATGTGCCCTGATTCGTGCTTGTATTTATTTAGTAAACATTTTCCCCTCAAGATATTTGATTCTGAGCAAAAATTGAGGTTATCAGTTTTGTTGAATACTTGTAGACCTGAATGCTACTACAAAATAATTGTAAGTGCTAACAAGCATGATGGCTTTTGTGTGCATTGTTAGTTGGATTTTTCTGGAATTAAGCAATATTAAAAGCTTCAATTCTATTGGAAGGTTTATTTTTTTTAAGGTGTGTTATACTTGATATTTTTAAGAGTCACTTTTAAATTTTCTGTTATGGAATAACACAAGAGAGATGAGCTTAATTTTATTAATTGTGCAATAAATGCATTTGGATTTAAATGAAGCTGCTTTTCAATTATTGAACTGCCTTTCTCTTTGATTTTACATTCATTATAATTTAAGTTTCCAAAACATAAAGGTGTTTTTTTCTTTGTTTTTAACAGGTCTTGCATGCTGTGACACAAAGATCTCCTCGCCTGGTGCGCTATGTTCATGGTGAGCCTGATCTCCTCCTGTTGTCCATGTTGTCATTCCAGGGATTATTATATCAAAGGGGTATCATGTTATTTTAGCAACCAGTCATTGGAAATCATCATAAACACATGGGAATGAGTTTAGTCTTTTTTTTTTTTCTGAATTAGTGACAAATCTCCAGTTTTTTACAGCATCCGGTGCAAAATGAGTTTTAAGAACCTGTGAAGGATCTGATAATGGCCTCAAAGTTCCAGCGGCCATGGTCAAAATTGCAGATAAGGCAGGATGGGGCCAGTTTTGTAGTTTGAAGTAATCAGTGACTTCAGAATTCCTGCCAGCAATCAGAATTCCTGCAGATTTCCTCTCCACGAGGAGATCTGCAAACAGCAACACAACAGGCCCAGCCTGGGTCCAGTGAATCCCATTTTGTCCTGGTTCCAAACCCTCAGGCTCTTTAGCTATGCTAAGGAATTCTCTGTGGCTGCCAACTTTTTGGCACTTCTTAAAATAACTCAGTTAAATATATTTCATAAACTCATTTTGTATAGGCAAAAGAAGCCCCTGTGCTGCTCCTCAGCAGCACGTGTTCCTTCTCTTTCCCTTCTCCAAATATTAGCAAATTCCCCCTTTTATAATGACATGCAAATAAACCAGCTTTTGGGATTAGGCCTCACATTTATCAAAAGGTTTCCTACTGTGTTCTGCTTTCTTTTTTTTTTTGGTCTTTTTTGAGGGGTTAAGTAGCAAACACCTTCTGTATTTCTGGGTTTACTGATACATATTTTTAAATTGATTCTTTTGCCTCATGCTCTAACTGGAAGTAAGTGATCCTCATGTGGCTCCAGTGTTCTTTTTTTCTCAATTTAATTTTTTTTTACCTCCTAAATTCTCCCTTACATATGCCTCAGGATGTTTGAGCTGCTTGGTGACCTCCACCTCTGAGAGCAGAAGTCAATAAACAGCTTCCCCTTGCTGATGGGATTAGGGATGGCAGAGGAGTGGCCAAGGCTTTAAGGGACACGGATTTTTAGGATTTTTAATCCGCTTCCCCAGCTCAGCTCAGTTGAGTCTTCCATTGGGATCTGCCTCATGGAGATGTTGAGGCAATCAATGGCCACGTTCAGCTGAACTTCCTGGTGTTTCTGGGAGCCATCCCTGTGCTGTGGCATCCTGGGACATCCATTGGGGTGTCAGGAGCCATCCCCAGCTCCCAGGGGAATCCTTTCCCTGCTAAGGGGCTCTGGGCAGCTTTGGGATTGTGGCAAGGACAAGCCCTTGCGCATCACTAGTGTGGGAAATTTAGGGGTTTTGAACAGCTGACTAATGTGATTAAGTAGAAGTTGTTTAGTGCTTACATTATGCACATATTTATAGATTCTAAGTACCAAGTACACACTTTCTGATTACTGCTTTTGTCTTTTTTACTCATTTTCTGCCTATGTTTCTCAGAATAATGATTGGTTACAGTCCAGGTGTTTCACAGTGCTCTGTTATCTAGTTTTTCTGGTCTTGGCATTCAGTTTCTCAGCCTCTTCTTTCTTAATTTAGTATAATTTATGTTCTGATAGCCTTGATGAATTCTTGAGGCTTTGATAACAAACTTAGAAGCAGCCTGGCTGGTGCACACTATGGCCTAACCCTTGCAAATACATTGCAACTCATCACATTTAATTACTCAGAGCTCTGCAAAGGGAGATGATGCAAGAACAAAAGCTTAACATCTGTCAGGGCTTTTAATGCCAACATTTTCCTTTCTTTCTTTCTTTTTTTTTCTTTTTGGTGTAGTTTTCTACATTTTTCTGACATTCTAGCAGCTTTTCCATGTAATTCATGACTTTTCTCCCACATTTTGCTGTCCATGGTGATATTTGGAGCAGTTCTGCAGGTGCTTTCTGGAGGAAAGGCTGTGAGGATCCAGAACTGACTCTGAATTTAATTAATGTGGGAGCCCCAGAGAGACAGTTAATGGCTCCATCAATAACTTCCTCATATTTTTATGTTTAAAATATTGGACCAATATTATGAGGTAGGTTAGGAGTGTCCTTCATTTTGGGGTCCATCTAGCAGGGATCCCCTGCAAGCCCTGCAGATGTTCTCTGAAGCACAACTTCCTCATTTTCCTTGCCACAGTTACTGCAGAAGGCCCCAAGCTTGGCATTGCTTGGCTAAAATATTTTTTACAACAAATAAAATGAACTATTGGCATCTCAAGGGCTTACAGTTAAATTTTACTAATGCAAATTGCTTTTGAGTCAGGCAAGTCTAACAGTGTTATTGTTTGTCTTTTAAAAATACATTTTATCAAGGCTAGCACAAACCCCCACATGAATTGAACTATAACTTTGTCTGATTTTGATAAAAAAAAAATTATGATGTTCAATCTTTCTGTAATGATGTTGAGAGGGAGAAAATTATGATTAAAACAGAGTATTAAAAGTTCTGCCCACAAAATAATTTGTGAAAAGGAATTGCAAATCCAGTGGCAAGAAATCTTTATAGCCAGATAAAACTGCTTGGGGCTTCCTTTTGTTTCTAATTTATATTCACAATAATGAATGAGGCTAAAGTAGCAATCAGAGACATCAATTAAAACTATCAATACAATTGGTTTTAAATCAGTTACCAGTCCATACTTTTGGAAATACTGCAGCCCAAGTTTTGTGATTGGATTCTATTGGCAGAGTGTGAAGAACTGGTGCAAATAGAAATGGCTTTTCAGGGAATCAAGGGTAATCTACACCATAAACACACAGTTAATCTTTTATTATCTGACATATATTCACTCTAGGTGATGCTGATTTTTTCAAAATAGTTTTATCAGGTTAAGTTGGCACTTTCCTTGTGCAGTCCCTGGTTTCTTTGGGGATCCCATGGTACCCTGAATTGGAGCTGGCATTGTCATTCCTCTCCTGCTGTGAGGCTGATCTGAACAATGTGGGGACTGTGATGACTTTGTCATCTTTTGTCTGCTGTAAATTGTTATCAGATTTTTCTTGTAAAATGCAGTTTATGTTGCTGAATATAGAGGGAATAAAGCATTGCTGAGGCAGAGTGGTTCCTCTACTGCACATTCCCCTTGCTGTGCCCTTTCCTTGGCTTCTTGTGGCAGGATGGGGCTCAGAACTGACCTTTAGAGAAATACTGTTTATAAATAGGAGCTGTTGAACTTCTGCAGAGATGGGCTTTGGATTGCAGGTGTTCATAATTAGATTAATTTGCAGAGTAGATCAAGCCAATGAAGGAGGCATGGAAAACTGATGGAGGGCTTATCAAATTAGCTAAGTAGAGCAATTAATCAGACAGGCCTTAACTGTTTGGTTTCTATTTTTTGGTTATCAGCTGGAGCACTTTGCTTTCAGCTTGCATTAAAGACACTGAGTGCGAGGCTGTGCTTGTGTCCCTGTCACCCCTGTGTGTAAGGTGCCACCACTCAGGGACCCATTGGCATTCCCAAGGCACAGAGCAGCCTCCTGTCGACCAAATAATTTTTAAAAAAGTGTTCAGCATTCTCTGTGAAAATACCAACAAAAAAGCACCAACAGTGGGCATGAGATTTGATCTAACCAGTAACTTGTCAGTGAAAGGGATCAATAGGCAGCTCCTCAGGAACTTCTGGCTCCAGTATGGTAAAAATTATCTTGAAGGTACTTAAAAGCACCTTAGAATGATGATTCTAACAAGTTGTTTTTATTCTAATTGAGTTTACCCAGTTGGGGGAGCATTATGCATATTGACACTTTTTTTTTGTTCTTCTGACTCCATTTGTAAATTATTTGGTATTTTTAGATGGAATTTTCCTGCCTTTCATTGCAGGAATAAAAAGAGGTTTCCATAAGATTATCCCAAGAGTACTTTTCCTCATTCATTTCACAATAAACCTCTCTGGTAGCTGTCAGATTTGGGCCTGAGAAATTTCCCTGAGGCCCCAGAGCGCTGACATGGAATAGGGGGCAGAGATCTCTCTCCAGACATGACCCTCCCACTTCCCTTTTCCTTCTATTCATGAGGTCAAATAATTTCTTTTCCCACATCCACAATGAGTCCTAAAGCACGTCAGAAAATGGGGAAGAATGGAAATTAGCACTTCTTTTTCCAAAGCTGAAGAAAGATGATCTGATGAGAACAAGACCTTCCTTCAGATCTCCCTAAATGCTCAATTGCCTCTTATGTAGAGGTTAAATATAAGTTTAAGATCACTCCTTGTGCCTTCATTTAAAAAATACCCAATGAACATTCTGGCACATCAGCTTTGGGCATTTATATTTAGGAATCTTATCACAATTTAAAATGCTGCTGTAAAACTGGTTCCTACTCTCTGTAAGTCCTCAGCCATTTTATCTTAAATATCCAGAAATGAAAATCTTAACCAGGGTTATCAACTTGGGTCAAGCTTTGAAATCCCTTTTAAACATTTTGAGTGATATTTTTCATGCCCTTAACACTGAATACTTCAAACCCCAAAAAGTCTTGTGCTTAAGAGTTCTTTTGAAAACTGCAGAATCCTTGAACAGCTGAAGATTTAACAGGAGTTTTTTTGGTGACTATTTCAGGAATTTTTTTTTTTATAGATTGATAATCATGTTTGCCTTAGGAAGATAAAGGATAGATCTAAAGGCTGATGCCTGAGATGTGTAAGCTGCATTTTCTATCTCTGGAAAAGTAGTCTCTGATTTTTCTGATGAATTTCTGTCTCTTGCCTTGATTTTTGAATCACTGAAAATAAGATACAGCTTCTGTTTTAACCAATATGTGAAACTGCTAAAAAGCCTGTAAATAGGAGTAATTAACACCCACCTCCAACGTTTCCTTTTTCTGCTAATTTAAATACAGGATTTCTAGGTCTAAAAGCATGTGAAGATAGTTCAGACAACATATATGTGCTTTCAACATGCTTGAATCCAATCAGTTCTTCCTTGGGAAGGCTGCAGGGCTGTGCTAAACATGATCCAAATTACTCTGGTAGTGATATAAACCCAGAAAGGATCTCATGTGTTTATTTGGAGCCTGTGAGCAGCCCAGAT